ACACACACACACACACACACACACACACACACACACACACACACGGGAAGAGACTCTAGACAATTATTTCTTGAAAAACGGGGTTTATTGATTTTTTTTAAACTGCAAATAGTCGTTACAAAAAGTTTTTTTTTCTTTTAAATAAATTCACACAAAGAAAGAGAAATAGGAAGCGACGGTAGTGACCAGCAAGAGGAATAATAATTACATTCATCTTTATGTGTGTGCGCCAGTTGTTTATGTTAGCATTGGAAAACTCCAACCTGGAATCCAGAACCTCGAAATCTGCGAGCGCGCGGAATGTCTTGAGATGGGCACGTGAAGTCAAAGGGGTTCTCTCTTTTCTGTTTTCCCTTTTAGAAGCTATACATAAAAGGTGGCTTCCTTCTGTAGTCACAGAGCTTGAGCATACATTCTCAGTCCTACCTGTGAAAGGCCTAAGGAGAAGAAACTCAATTTGCAGTCCAACACAAAGGGGAGAATTTCTAAAATAAATAATCCAACAGTTTTTTGCATTTTTTTAAATTAATTTTTCATTTTTTTAAAATAAAATAACCAAAAAAAGTGTAAAGTTACAAAAATGTTGTTGAAGAATAATATATTAAAACTGTGGAAAAAAGGAAAGACACGTCACAAAATTTTAAGATTAATATGAAGATCATAATTTAACATAAAAGAATATATTCTATGGATTTGTCATCCCGATAAATATGAACAAAATTAACAAAAAAAGCATAGTTTGGCAATAAATACGTTTTGATAAGTTAAATAAGCTTTTTTATATTGATGTGCAGTGACAAGCAAAATTTTTGCTCTCCAATTTCTGAAAGTTAGATGAAGTTTAACCCCAGGGAAAAAAGCATGGCGTGAGGGCTCTAAGGTAGACCTAAGGTATTCTAGAGCAAAATCCATTAAAGCTACTTCTACAGGAAATCGTTTTACACAGATATCGTATGTGGAATGAATACCATTAACTGCTCACCCCTTACAGTTTGGTTTTTTTTTTTTTTAGCTTTTCTCTCATTTTGTCGTCATTTTTAAGATGTCACATATGAATTGGGGAACTTTAGCACCAAAATCAAGTCTCTCATAGTCCATCCCCTTCCTCCCCACTTAAAAAAAAAAGAAAAAAATTAAATCACAAAGTCCCACTTATATCAAAACCTTCGTCCAACTGGTTCAACCTTCCTCCCTGAAGACCTACACAAACCCGGGCAAGATTAGTCAACAGGGGTTTGGGCTGGGAAGAAAAAGGTTTTGAGTGTCAAAATAGGTTTCACCCAAACCCCAAGTCCAGCAACTATTCTCTGAAGGAGGCGGGTAACTACAAGGAAGAGGAAGTGTGCGGGAGACTGAAAGGAAGGTGCGCTTGGGTCGCCAGCTGGGGGAGCTGCTGGTTGCGGGTCACCCCCCAACCCCACGGGCAGAGGCTCTGGGAGGCCCACGGGTGCCCCCTGGCGTTGAAGAGGTAATGTAGTCACAGTGACAAAGTTAGATAACAAGGCACTAAGTTGCTTCTGTAAACGGTTACTGCTTTTCTTTTGTGATTTGGCACTTAAGGCTTAAGCCGAAAAAAGGCATCTACTGACAAATATGGGACTCTGTTATGCGTGGTTAAGTGGGCTATGAAATGGAGGGAGGGGGATTCAAGCCAGAAGAAGCTACCAACAAATTGACTTGTCCTTATGTTGTTGGAGGTGGGGGTGGGGGCGACATACCAAGGTTCTGGGGAAGGGGCTGAGCTTAAATGTATCAATGTAGGGATTGAGGGGAAGTAAGGGGATGGGGAGGTGAAGGCTTGGGATGGGGTGCAGGGTGGAGAGGTGAAGGAGGCAGGGTGTCCCTCCCTACCCTGACTTAGTCATCTGAGATGGAGAGTCTGCTGAAAATGGGCAGGCGTCTTGAGTTGTCCAAGGTAGGGGAATCTGAGCCACTGTGGCTGCTGCTGGAGCTGCTCAGGTAGCCCTCCTGGTCCGAGAGAGAATCCTGAGGGCTGGGGGGAGAGTCAAACATGTGAGGGGACTCGGACATGGGCCGGAAGAGGAAGGTGGTGGGGGAGCCTCCCCCGGGTAGCCCCATGCTAGGAGCAAAGAGGCTCGCCAGCTCCTGGCTGGAAAAGGCGAAGGGGTTATTGGTGCCGTCGGGCAGGGTAGGTGAGCCCAGGAGGTCATCCGCGCTCAGGATGGGGGGTGGGGTGATAGACGTGGGGCTGTCCAGCAGCCCCGTGGCAGCGGCGGTGGCAGCGGCACTGGGAAACCCAGCAAAGCTAAAGCTATGCTGGAGGCGGGGACGGTCAGCGGAGAGGTCCCGGCCCCCGGCCAGGGCGCGGCGCTCCTCGGCGTTGTGAATGAAGTGGCAGCGGGGCCCATACGGGCAAAAGCCGATCGTGTGGAAGGTGCGGCAAAGCTCCGTCTTGTACTTGGGGTGGCGGGTCAGGCTGCGGAGCTCGTGGATGCCGTGCGCGAACTGGCACTTGTCCCCGTACTTACAGGCACCGTTTTCTTCGAAGGGGCGGCAGAGCTCCGTCTTGTAGCGGCTGGAGTTGACCTGGCCGCTCCCAGGCTGCTTCTGGGCGGGCAGAAGCCGCTCGCCCCCTTCAGAGAAAGAGCGGTCTCGAAAGCGGCTGTCGCGGGAGCTCAGGGACGGGGCCGGCTCGCCCTTAAGGCTGCTGAGAAGTTGGTTCTGATGGAACTTGGAGCTGGGCAGAGTGACCGAGTGCCTCCGAGGGAAGCCCCCGCCAGCAGGGGTGCCCACTGCCTTCCTGTCCAGCAGGCAGCCCCCAGCACTGGGAGTGCTGTAGTTGAGCATCTTGTTACCCTGGAGGGGAGGGGAGGGGAGGGAAAAGGACCGGTGAGTGACCGAGGACACCCACGAGGCCAGGGCATGGTGTCCACAAAGGACAGCACCCCTTCATCAGATAGGCCAGTCTGTCCCTCTCTAAAAGGAGCCACCTGGGTTTATTTTGGCACTGCTCGTGAGAAACCACAAAAATCCTGCCCTGTATGAAAAAGAAATTATGTACGCATCCTGCTCCATGCTGACCCCTGATATGTAGATTGCTTTATATCCCCATGTCCCTAAAGCTATTTTTTCCCCTCTAAACTCCAAGTCCTGTTTATACATTCCTCAACTCAGAATATTTCACACAAGGCAGTCCTCTCTAATTTCCCTCCCCCTAACAGAACCAGGTAAGCCCCTGGGAGAAAACAAAACATGAGCCAAATCCTCCCCATCAATCCCTGCTAGCCCCCTCCCCCACAATCTGTCCCCAAACTCTCCACTTCCTCTTCCACAAGTGTACCCTTCCTTTGGCAACAGGTTTTTAAACTGTGCTTTTTTTCTCTCTTTCTTGGGGAAGAGCTTAGTCTGGGATATGGGGAGAGGGATATGCACGGCTCCCCAAGCTCATAGCTTCCGGAAGAGCACCCCGGAGAGGGATTTCTCCCCCCCCCCCCATTCCCCCACTCCCTTCACTGGGAAGATGCCTTTGCACTTGGTCTCCAGGCTGCAAGAGCGGTCTGGATAAGAGCACCAGTGTTTAATCTTGAACCAAAGCTGCAGATGGGAAAGAAAGCGCTAGCTCCCCGCCCCTCCCCACATACACCTCGCAGTCAATGGGGGGAGGGGGGGCTCGAGCAGGGACAGAGCTGCCACAAGCCCTAAGTCACCTGCTCAAACTACCCAAGATTTAGAAATAGTTGGGGGTGGGAGACTTGAAAGTTATCTCCAGGCCCCTGACACATGTGGGTGTCATTGTGCAAATTCTAAAGTTAGTCCCTTAGGATCAGCAGCGGGGGATCGGGAATCAGTAACCCTGTAACCGCTACCACCCCACCGAGCGGATTACAGGAACCCAGTGGAGAGCCGGTTCCCAACAATGAGGTTCATTTAAAAAAGTCCTGCGGGGGGAGGGGGCAAAAGAAAGAGAAATAGATCAAAGAGCGGGCAGCCAGGACGAGAAGGATGGAGTTGCCCAGGAGCTCAGGCAGGAGCTCGGGCAGCCGCCAGGGCGAAAGGACTTGAGAAAACGCAGGGAAGGGGGGAAAAGAAGCTGAAAGTTTTTTGATGTTGCTGTTCAGCTCCAGCACGCCCCTGCGCCCCAACCCTGCAGCCCCGGGGCCTTGGCAGCTGCACCGACAGGAGCAGCAAGCTAGGAAGGGAGCAACATGACCCGACGTGTTTAAGGGAAGGCAAAAACAGTTCAGCAATTAAAAGTAGCCTAGCAGCTTCATCCTTTCAAACTGGGGGGTTGGGAGAAGTAGAGTGGGGGGAAAAATTAGCAACATCCATGGAGTTGTACATTTCAACCGTACTCCTGGAACACGCAGGTTTTAAAACTTTTTTTTGGTCGAAAACCCGACTAGTAAACTACCCCCATTTAAGGAGGCCCTATTAAATCCTAACTGGCGGGAACTTGAGTTCTGGCAACATTTTGTTCCCCTATTCCTTAATCAACGAGCCACAGTGCCTCACAACACAGGTAAGCAGCTACTTTCGGCCAAAAGTTTGCTGCGTGATCAAGCAGCGCTCTCGCAGAGGAAGCCTAGCTCAGCTGGGGCGGGCACAAGCTCCACTACAAACTCGCCTTGCCTACATCTTAAACTTTAAATCGGCCCTTTTTTCCTTGCCGCATATCTCTTAAGTTCTCCAAGGCAGAGAGGGAAATTCTCCCAAACAAATACCGTTCTGAGACTTCATTTTTCCTAGAGACCCCCTACGCCACAGGGAGCAAAGTTGTCGGGGAGACTCGAACTCCTCCAGCAGGCACGGAAACCCAGAGCGCACACCGCGAGCCCACCGAACCCCAGCTCCCGTGGTACACCATGCAGGAATGAATCCTTTAAAGTTTGTCCCAATCCTAGCCACTCTTTCGCACCCCCAGGTCAGCCCTTGCCCCGCAAACTTGAGCAGTCACCCAGAACGGTGCTCCCAAATTCACATAGAACTCCACCTGGGACGTGGAACTAAGTAGGGAGGGCATGGCCAAATTCCTTCATCATGGAGGGAAACGCAAACAGTGAAATCCCGTCACTCGCTCTATGCCGTTTTCCCAGAATCGAACTTTTAGGGTTTCTTTCAAACACAAGAGAAACTTTCGAAAAGCAAAAGCTCCGCCCTACTTTACCTTGCATAAAACTTCGCTCAAGTCGAAGATGGTGGCAGACACGAGGGTGGTGGTCATCGTGGGCGTTCGCACGGGGCAAGGAATAGTCTCTGGTGTGTCGTGAAGGTCCCGGTGCGGGGAAGGCGCAGCCTCCGGCTCTCCGGTCTGGAGTCCCACACGCCTGCTCCCGGCGCCCCTCGCCTTTCTGACTCCCGGGCTGCGGCGCGCAAAGCCCAATTTATAAGATTTGGTGAGTTGAGGGTGGGGGGAGGAGCTTTAAACTTATTTAAATGAAGAAGAGGAGGCGGAAAAAAAAGTTGATTGACACTGAGGTTGAATCAGCCATGCGGTCAAGCGGGAGGGAGGGGTAAAGGGGGAGGAAAGAAACTTTCAAAAGGAAGAAGGGGGAGGGGGAGACGAGGAAAGAAGGCGGAAAAAAAAAGAACCACTCGGAGCGGCGCACAACTTTTTTTTCTTAAAGAGGAAAAGTTTCGAGTCCGCGGGCTCCGCTCCCCAGCGAGGGGGGGGGGGGAGCGCCCCTCCCTGGGGCTGGGCGGGGCCGAGGGGGAGGGGCGCTCACCCTTTGTCAGCCTCGCTGTCCGGCTCTGTGACATCACTCATTCCACCCCCTTCGGAGTTCTGGTTGTTGTGTTGTTTGGTTGGGGGGGGGGGGAATGGTGGTGTGGTGTGGTGTGTCTGTGTGTGTGTGTGTGTTTTGGTCGGGCAGGAAGGCGGGCTCGACTTTCTCTCTTTTTTTTTTAATTTGCTAGCTGGAGCTGAAGCTAGTCCTGCGCGGGCAGGGCTGCGGTTTCCATCTTGAGTTGGTGTCCCTTGAAACTTCTCCAAGTGTCCGCACGACTTACCTTTCCCTGACTTCCCTGTCCACACCCGGCTGCCCACCGCAAAGCGAGCTGGGCGAGAAGTTTAGGCATTCAGAGCACCCCAAATGTCCGAGTCAGGAGTTCTATGTTTGTTTCCCACCAGGGTGCGGAGGAGTAGGGGCGATCAGGAAAACTTTTTTTCCTTCGGGAGAGTCTGGCCTGGCGGGGGCGAGCGCAGCAAGATTTAGCGCGCAGCGCGCGTGCACACGCGTGCTGGGCTGGCAGCCGGCGCTCTCCCGGTCCGGTGAGGGGACATTTCGAAAAAGACCACTGCCTGAGCAGATCTCGTTTAAACAGACCTAGATGGGGCACTTCGTTCACACATCCGATCTTTAAACTTACCACAGAAAAACCCAGACTTTCATGGGCGCCTCTTCATCCGGCTCACAAAAATAAAAGAGCAACGAGTCACTTTCCACGCGCGCTTTGAATCTGGGCTTACCTCCTCCACACATCCCCAAATGTTAAAAACAAGAAAAAAAAGTTACTTGGGTAAGAAGGAAGGTAGAGGTGGAGGAAGCGACACTTGTAACTTCTTGCTGCTCTCCCGCCCCCACGCGAACGGAACATATGGCTTGCCACTGTGCCCTGTTTGGGGGTGCCAAGGAGTGGGACCCCACGGAACCCAATGGCCTTAAATGAATTATTCCGCCCTTAAAAACCGCGAGTATGTATTTATTTACTATTAGGTTTGGCTGCCTCCCACCCGCACCCGCTCGCGTGCTGGAGTGGAGACCCGGGCGGAAATCGCGGGCCGCGCCGTCCGGGCCTCGCACGTTTCTTCCCAGCACTCGAGGCCGCCGGGTCTGTTATGAAACTCGGTGCGCCGAGTGGCTACGAGCGAGTTCCATTGCGATGTAATTAGGTCACCCCATTACGAGTACGTTTCTCTGGAAAGGACGGAGCGGGCGGAGCAGAGCGTTCGAGCCTGAGCCGCACCACTCCTTACACACACGCACATTAAAAGAAAAAAAAAAACCCTGCATTTATTTATCGCCAACCTCTGGGCAAACCCAGGGAAATCTTCCAAATAGCAACTATTTTAGAAACCAGTTCTTTTTTTTCAATTTTGTGAAAACACACGAGTTTTGCTGCAGCCCACGAACCTAACGTAATTCCCTGCGGGGTCTCTGCTTGACTCGTCTCCAACAGTTTGAGTTGCTGGCCCCCATTTTTAACCCGGCTGCTGCTCCTGACTTTTTCTGCTTGCTGCTGTCCAGCCGCCGGTTGCTTCCCTCCCCCGCTCCCATTTTTCATCTTTTCTTGAAATCTGGCAAGCGCCGGGAAGGGAAATAACTTCCATCCACCTTAATTTAAATCATTCGGATGTGTAGGTTTCTTTTTAAAGGGATGTTTGCTCGTTCCCCTCCCCAGCTCTAAGGGGGTTGGTGTGTGTGCGCGGATTTCGTGCAGTTTCTCGGTGATGAGGTAATGAGTTCCAGATTTCGGGACAGAGCTGGGTGCGTTAAAACCACAAGGTTAGCCTAAGTCCTGATGTGAAGCTATGTCGACTTCTCATTCCGCACCACCCGCCCGGGCTGGTCTAAACTACCCAGTGTTTGCGAAGCTCTGCTGGAGGGGGACCGAGGCCGGGGTAGGGCGGCCTCCTGGGATAGTGTTGTCCCTCAGAGGCGGAGGACCGGGCTTGGGGCACCCCGAGCTGCCTAAATAATCTTGTTGATTTGTTTGTTGTTGTTGTTTTCTCTTTCTCTCTCTCAAAGAAAAAAACGATTCCTCGAATTTCCTGCGCCTTCCCAGCTCCCCTGGGCCTCCCCTCCCCCGTTCCCCTCCGCGGGCGGCGCGCTCCCGGGTTGTTTACCCGCCCCGCCGACCGCCCGGGTTTGTTCCTGCTCCCAGAGCCCGTCTCTATAATTAAACTCTTTTTTTCTAATTGTCGGGTTGCAACGTCATTTAGGGGACTTTCCAAGTGGGGGGAGG